TAAAACTGACTTTGTAGTACTCAATTTAGGACAACTCGACTCGTTTGTTTTTAAACACCGAGCCATTTAGTGAAACGACTTGGCGACCAGATAATCAATTGATCAAAGACACTCCCCTTAGAGACGGGTTCAGTACCGAATGATTGGCACACCATGAGCAGGGGGAGTCCGCACCTTGAGTCTGTCTACAGCCTGTGATGTTTTTGTTCACACACCCTTATAATGGCGTGCATACACACACACACACACACACATGTGTAACATATGTATGTATGCATGCATGAAAGAACCGACGATCGTAGCGCCAGATGATATGGTACGCAGTTGGAGTAGACGAAAGCTCTCCGGAGCAGGCAAGACTGAGGTCGGACAAGACTTAGCAGGGGGGAAAAGGAGCGGGGTTGTCAGTCATCAAAGGGCAGGGATCACCGCTCTTTTTCAGACTAGACCCTGCCTCGGCGGGACTCCGAAATGCCCCTTTTCTGCTGCCCGGCCAGCCGTCCTGTCGGCACGGTTGTCTGGCTTGTGCGTCCGTAGCATGCACACCTGCGTGCGTCTGCAGTCTGGAACATTCTAGGTCTGCGTTTTTGAGCTAAATAGAGGACATTCATATAATCGAGTTAAATATCACCTTCAGACCAATCGATTCGCGATCGGGGGCATCGTCGACAGCTCGAGCATGGCCACTGTCCTGGGCTAGATCTGCAATGTCCTTCAAATTTTTTGGGAGACTTGCCACAAAAAGAGGCACGCCTACGAATTGTGAGGATAAACTGGGTCAGTAGCTTCGTTGTGTGAGATGTAGCCTCGAGAACCACCTTATAAACACAGGATCAGTATGTTCGTGTTGGTGTACCCATTCTGAGGTGTATTGAAATTTGGGCGGAAAAGGGTCGGATGGTGGCTTAACCATTCGTCAAGGCGTCTATTGAACTCAAAAGCCAAAAGCGATGGAGTACCCTTTGACAAGTCAGCACATGGATTGTCCTAAGGTTTGGTAAAGCTTTCGTCAAATGGGATTTCGTGCCCTGGCGCTGTCTGTCATGGTGATACAGGCAAGTCCATTCGTAGCCTGCGAAACTCAAATATTTTCGCTTTCCTCCCATCATGATTCGAAGCCACATGACCCTTGTCTCCTACTACTACAACCACTACTTCTTCATTTCCTCCTGCTCCTTCTAACAATGCTAGTCTTATTCCCACGCCTACGTCTACTCCCTCTCCTCTCATTACTACTACTACGACGAAGACACCACCATTACCACCACTACTGCTGCTAATAATAATACTGCGACCGTTGCTGCTGCTCCTAATACTACTCGTACCACTCCTACTCCTACCTCGACTAATATTTGTATTGCTATTACTCCTACTCATGCACCTACGCCTACGCCTACTGCTGGTCTTGCTCCTCTATTACTACTATTACTACTACTACTTTTACTGTTATTAATGCTAATACTAACACTTCTACCACTAATACTGCTCCTGCTCCTACTCCTAATCCTCCTACCACTACTACAACGACTACGACTACCAATACTACTACTGTCGCTTCTAATACTACTTCCACCACTCCTACTTCTGTTCCTACTCTTATTGTCCTTACTGCAACAAATATTATCCGTATTACTCTTACTCCTATTCCTCCTACTATTCCCAATCCTACTCCTTTTATTAGTATTACGAC